TATTTTATCTTCAACTTGCCCAAGATCGCAAGGAATTTTTACACCAGCAATTGAATAAAAGTCTGTAATTCCTGACTCGAACTTCTCTTCATCATTAAGCATCTATCCAAAATAAAGATCACTTTTAGATAGCTACACACTAATTCCTGCCAAAAAGGCAATATTCTATCTCGGTTCTTTATTCTTTCAGTCTTAAAACAGTAATGCGTGCTCATTATAATGTTTTAAATATATACAATCAACTTTTTCTTAAAACCAAACATTACAAAAATAGCATCCCATCACCACCAACACCACAAGCATGCACTAAAGAAAACTATGGTAAGGGTGGTGACCACTAATCCAGAATTTATTTATTTATATAGATATGCATATACACATGTACTTATCTGTGTAAGCACATTTTTTCTGTTTATGTTTTTATTTATTTATTTGGTGGCTGGCCAGCACAGGGATCTGAACCCTTCACCTTGGTTTTATCAACACCATGCCCTAACCAACGGAGCTAACTGGCCAGCCCTACATAAGCAGCACATTTTGTGTGTGTGTGGTTGGCCAGGATGGGGATCAGAACCCTTCACCTTGGTGGTATAACACTGTAATCTAACCAACTGAGCTAACTGGCCAGCCCTGGCACATTTTAAATGGGTGATTTAGCAACTTGCCTTATTTCACTTAATTCATCTTGAAGATCTCCCTATATCTACAAATAGATTTACCACTTTTTATAGATTATCATCATTTAACTGTAGCCAGTTGAAGTCTCCTATATGGCTTGCTTCCAAATTTTTGCTATTACAAAAAGTTACAAGCCATATCTGTCAGAAAAGTCCTAGAAGTAAATTCGCTGGGTTAAAGCGTATAAACATTAAAAATCTTAATAGGTTTTGCCAAATACTCTCTGAAATTTCCAAGCCCAATTTACATTCTCACCAACAGCATATGAAATTTCCTCCAAAAAGTCAGCTTTTAAGTGCCTTGGAAAACTATACTTTATGTTGCTTCAAATGCCAAGTAGTAAAAACTTTCCCACTGGTCATCTTTATTCCAAACAGAACCCAACACAAATAAAATTCACTGAATGTGTCAGGACAGTCAACCACCTTCATTTTTCTCCTTACACATTTTCAGTGCCTCAGAAGAGAAAATACACCAGGTATACATAATATCTTCAACTAGCAAATCCTCAAATATTAGATACCTTGATAAAAAGTTATCCAAATTATTTCAGAAAACCATTTTACACAAATCAGAACTATGCAGTAAAGCAGAACTCAAACACGTAAATCAAAGGAAAGTTGTAAGGGTAGATTTATTATGCTTTATCTGCTCACTCGAAGGACTAAGGCTACAAATAAAAAACTATCAAATCATACCAACAGACAAATTAGCTTACATAAAATAATAAGCAACAGATTTCATATCATAAATGTCAATGGAACAGATTGCAATAGTAAGGATGGCTGTAATTGGAAAGAAAGTTCACTCAAATTCACATTATACTGAAAATGAGAACATTAATATTTTAAATGAAATGTTTTAAATGTGACTATTCATTTCAGTCATATCAGACTAGTATAAATCTTTGGAACTAATAAATAAGGTATGGTCTTTTCTTGAAAGCAGATAGTTTAAAAATGCATCATACTCTCATCCGCCTATTCTCTAATGGCAAATGGATATTCCAGGCTTCACTATTTCATCAAAATCTCTTTTCTGGGACTTTATACCAGTAGTTTTAAATTGAAGATCTCCCACACATCTTTATGACAGAGTAAAACCTCATTAATTCAAATCCAATTAGCTCAATTCTGAAATGGTATATGTAATTCTCATTAGGCAACAAGTTGAAAATACTATAATTTCTTCCTCTACAAGTTCTCATAATATTACTGTGAAGTAAAGGAAATCAACCTGAAAATCGATTCGCTTTTCTAAACGAAAGATTTATGAAACTAAGGACTCATCCATCTTCATGGCTGAGCAGTACGTCCTCAGTTCTAAGATTCATCTCTGTTTATCATCTACTGTATACAGTGAAAGTGATTTAACTTGTTACTATTAATAGCCATTTACAGCTTAGAGTATGAGCATTTCTTTTAAAATCTTGTAAGTCAAATTTTTCACAAATTCATTTTTGCAATTTCTCCTATTTCTGGAGGATAAGATTTTACCCCATCGCTTACAGATCTACAATACAGCAAATATAGCACCTTAAAATGTATTGGAAGTAGACTTAGAAATACCTGGCATTCTTATTCTGTATTTATTCTTATCATTTTGAAAGACTTTATAAGCCAAAAAATGAGTCCCAGGATTAAGTGGCATGTTTGGTGTCGCTTGAACTTACAACTAACTATTTCCAATGAACACAGAAACCTCTTGCAATCTGAATCATGTGTAATTACAATATGACAAGGTCTCTCCTGGGCTATGTAAGCTGGCATTTTTCCCAGGACTTGTCACATCATGGGAAGCACACATACAAATAAAAATCCAAAAATAAACATTTTAAAACAATGGCTTCTAGACTACATAAAGAAACTCCACAATGGAGTATAAAATTGAACAGTCCAACCAATAAGCATGCATCTCTCACCAGAAAGGTCTGAGAAGACATCAGTGTTATTAAGCAGCCTACCACGCCTAGCAACAACTCCCAGGTGTGGGCTCTGCAGGCAGCACCCTCATGTTCCCTCAGGCTGGACAGAAATCATTAAGTAGAGGAAATAAAGGAGAACATCACCACACCCACCCACTGAAGCAAAGAAAACAGTGGTAAAATACAGAAGAGGTTGATTATCTTTAATTTCATAATGCCAATTTGTTGATTGTCAAGGTGCCTAAACAAAGTTAACTTAAGAACGATATCTTCTGTCAACTGCGTTAATTTTCCTAACACAATAAATATTGCTTTTTTGGTTAAGTGTATTTCACTTTGAAGTGAATAGCAGCCAAGTAATAGTAATAGTGTGTACCAAAGACCTGAGAAGCTGGTTTCTTTTGTTTAAACTCCCCTGCAATAGCTGTACAGACACATGGGAAGGGAGAGAGAGAATCTAAGAAGCATCACTCCAACCTCATATAGTGACAAAAACTTGACAATGCTCATCCTTATCGGTTTTGAAGAAATATGAAATTTAATACCTCTGACTATATCTTAATATAATACTAACAAATTCTAAACGTTATTTCCTATAGGCCATGCATATTCCTGGCCCTCTATTAGAAGCTGTTTTCATTTATTAACCATCCAACAAAGCCCATCAAATTCAACTGTTCAAGTTTTCAAGAGGAGCTACACACCAAAATGCTTAGACAAAAAGTACAATCCTACTTCCCATTAAATGAGTTCTGGAAGCAAAAAATAAGCACTGACACAAACCTCTGCCACCTCTAAGGCACACAGTATTTCTCCTTTCTTTATTCAGCCCCCTGAATGTTCAATAATTTCCACACAGCTCTAAGCAGAATGGATTTATTATGATGTTACTCTAAGAAACTGCAGGAGTTCTAGATGCCAATAAAGATTATGGATCAAATGGAAGATAACTACTAACCATTGTGTCGACTTAGATAAATAAACCTGCTCACAAACAAAGCACCTTATTGTATTTGTACTGTTACCTCCAGTAATCCAACTAAAACAACCAGACAGTAGCTTTCCAGAGAGGGTGAAGGGAATAGAAACCCGGATTTCTCAGACCCCTTTTAAATCATTTAAAATGACACCCCATTTATTTTTTCCAAAACTGACGTGCCCTTTATGGAAAATGCTTAGGACCGCAGAGGCTCAGCAGGATTATGCAAACTGGACTCGAAGGCTAAGAAGCAAGGTGGTCAAGAGTTGAAGCAAAAGGCAATACAACACCGTTCCTCTGAAACTTAGCATCGACCTTTGCAGGAACTCTGTCCCTGCAGATCACATCCGGCAGACACTTTGGAACATTGCTCAAAACTGATCAGCCAAGTGCCAGGGTAAGTCCCCCAACTAAACAAATCCAGACTGGGGTGGGGTGTGGTGGTGGCTAGCCTACAAAAAGAAAAGTCTTTGACAACTGGTAGGTACCAAGTGCCTCATACGCAGAAAGGAAGGCAGAGAAACCCTAGAGAGAATCGACTTCTCAAGACTTAACAATAACTACAACGCATTCTTTGCTAATAACACAGGTAAATCTCAATTTCTTTAGGAAAAAGGGCGCAAAGTATTTATTCCCTCCAGCCCCACTCCCCACACCTCCAAACCCAACAATTAACTGCACCTTCCCCACAGAATCCGCGCCTAACCCCAGAGGATCGGTGGGGGCAGGCTTGGGATGAATAAACACTCGACACCTGACGGTCCTTTCTCTGCGGTGACTTTCACCCAGCTGAAGACGCGCGCGCGCG